CCTTCTAGAGAGGAGCTAGGTGAGGGGTCAGTTGTCCTCCTGCAATAGCTGTGGCCAGAGGTATTATGATTTCGGGTTGTCTGTCTGTCTGTACGTACGTCCCATTCTCGTGAACACGATATCTCATGAATGTTTTGAGGGAATTTCTCCAAATTTGGCACAAACATCCACTTGGACTCAGGAATGAACCTATACCTGTACCTATACTTTGGTCAGTACAGGTCAAGGTCACTGTGACCGTGTGTCCATCTCATATTCATGAATGTAATATCTCAAGAAGGGCTTGTGGGAGTTTCCTCAAATTTGGCACAAACGTCCACTTGGACTCTAAAATTAACTGGTTAGAATTTGGTGGTCAAAAGTCAAGGCAACTGTGACCTCACAAAACATGTTTTGGGCCATAACTCAAGAATGTGTGTGAAGCATCCATGTTTTCACAGACATGGATATAAAGTCTAAGTGCAACTTCTCTGGTGCGCGTAAGCATAATTCCAGTTTCGTGTTTCACCTTGTCCGCCATACAGTTGATGGATAAATAATCATGAAAATTTATCATTTTGCTTTTTGAATAATATTTGACATGTGAAAGAGGTATATGTGTGGATGTTAAGGTCCACTTGGGCTGATGTATCTGCGAGTAAGGTTGTCTTTTCTTGTATCTGGTGGTGGCTGTGTGAAAGAAGTGCCAAGTCATCTGCAAAGTCGAGGTCTTCTAGCTGTGTCAATAACTTCCATTGGATTCCGTTTTTCCTTCCTTCAGTTGTGGTCTTCATTACCCAGTCGATGACTAGTAGAAACAGGAAAGGGGATAGCAAGCACCCCTGTCTAACCCCAGTCTTGATTTCAAAGTGGTTGGTCAGTTGTCCTTCGTGAATGACCCTGCAGGTCATTCCTGCATAGTTGGGGCAGCAGTAGCTCAGTCCTTGGGGCGGCAGTAGCTCAGTCCATAGGGGACTTGGGTTGGGAACCGGAGGGTCGCCTGTTCAAGTCCCCATCCGGACCAAAATATGGAGCGTGGACTGGTAGCTGGAGAGGTGCCAGTTCACCTCCTGGGCACTGCCGAGGTGCCCCTGAGCAAGGCACTGAACCCCCCAACCGCTTGGAGCGCCTGTCATGGGCAGCCCACTCTGACATCTCTCCACTTAGTGCATGTATAGGTCCAGTTTGTGCATGTGTGTGTTCGGACCTGTGTGTAATTGACAAACAGAGTGAAAAATTGAATTTCCCCTCGGGGATTAATAAAGTATATAAAATTAAAAAAATTAAAATAGCTTTTGATGATGTTCACAAGCTTCGTAGGCACTCCATGATGTCTGTGCACACTGTCGAAAGCCTTTTCATAGTCAACAAAGTTGACATACCTTAACATCCACAAGGGAAAGACGAAAACCATGAGGATGAACACAAATATTGTGGAACCAATATCACCTGAAGATACTCAACTTGAAGAAGTAGAGTCCTTCACCTACTTGGGCAGCGTCATCAACAAAAAGGGAGGAACTGATGCAGATGTAAAATCCAGAAAAGGGAAGGCAAGGGCAGCCTTTCTACAACTTAGGAACATTTGGTGCTCAAAGGAGATACAACAACAAACAAAAATAAGAATCTTTAATTCCAACGTAAAATCAGTCATGTTCTATGGAGCTGAGACCTGGAGAACAACAAATAACACAGCTAGCAAAGTTGCAAAGCTTCATAAATAGGTGCTTGAGAAGAATCTTGAAAATCCATTGGCCAGACAAGATTACCAACCAAGATCTTTGGACGAAGACACAGCAAATACCAGCTAAAGATGAAATTGGATGAAGAGGATGGAAATGGATAGGGCACACTCTTCGAAAACCAATGTCAAACATCACCAGACAGGCTCTGACGTGGAATCCTCAAGGTAAGAGAAAGAGAGGTTGGCCAAGAAACACTTGGTGAAGGGATCTGCAAGCAGACACCAAGAAGATGGGATACACCTGGTCACAGATAGAAAAGCAAGCCAGCGATCGGGTACTCTGGAGGTCCCTTGTCGACGGCCTATACCCCAAAAGGGGTGTAAGGCATAAGTAAGTAAGTAAGAAAGAGGTATATTCTGAACTTACATGACCTTTTAATCTACATGCAACTGTGACTATTACTATTTCAAATATCCTACTGACTTCTCACATGCAGTAATGTTATCATTCTTCTTGCCTAATCTCACAGGAAACCGTCATCTGCTTCATCGCAAAAAGATAAAGTATGTCACAGACATTTCCTTTTTATTTAAAGAGCCTCAAGGATGTATTATTTGCGTTACCATCACTTAATTAGATTACAGTGAACTGAAAGACTGTATATATATACTGTATATTCATCCACATTTTTATACTGTGTTAATTCATATACAGCAGTTTTATGCTCTTTTTGTTTTTTTATGTTGTATTGTTGTTTCAACTATCATCCATTTCATATCTTTATATCCTCTTTTCATTCCGTTTTATTTGTATGGTTGTCACTGTTGTATCTGCTGCTTTGCCGCTGCAGCATTTTCTCCTGTGTGATGGATTAAAGTTTAATTTACTCCAAACTGAAGCCAACCAAAGTGTAAATTATTAGACAGAGTAAGATTAGGATGGAAGGATGAGAAAGGAGAGAGAGAGAGAGAGAGAGAGAGAGAGAGAGAGAGAGAGCGCACAACGGAATCAGTCAGACAGGGAGGGAGACTGACAGAGACATGATCTCGTTAAATATTCTGCTTCACTCCTGCTCTAAAGCTGTATTCAGTCAGCCTCAGTTTAACTGGCAGTGCTGCTGCAATTGTGATTCTAATGTCTGTAGCATTCATTAGCATCTATAATTTTGATCCCCAGTGAGTCTGCAGAGTTCTTACAAGCCTGGAAAGTAATAAAAAAAAAGCACACAAAATGTCTTGAGCTAATTGCCTACTTCTTTTCAGCTATTTAGAGAAGCAGCCCAGTTAAAGTGATGTCTGGGTGATATAATGAAGGTGTTACATTTCTCCAGGCAAACTCAATATCATAACACATTAATGAGTCAACGAAAGTAGTCTAAATTGGTGTAGGAGAGTTAAAGATACAGTTGGAAACTTTTAGGAAAATAATTTTGTCATATTTGATGAAACTATCACTATATTCCGAAAAACGTACATGAGACAGATGATCTGTGAAAAAAATGATGTCATGACATCAGAGAATTAGACCATGGTGCAGTCAACAACAACCAATCAGAGCTGAGAACTCTCAAGTAGCTGTCAAACATGTCAGCTGCTCCGTGAACTGCAGTCAAACTGTCAAAGTGCTGATCAAATGTGAATTGCCTATATTTCTCAAAGCAATTTGTTTTTTTGTTTTTTAAATCAAATTTTATTAAACGGTGTTGCTTTAAAATGAGAAAGTTGGTCTGGCTGGTGTTGGTACTTCTGTTTAATTGTATCTACAATCGTGGCTGGGTCACAAACTTTCTCATTCTTTCATTTTCAATCAGGAAAGACTTAACTGTAGAGATGTCACAATCTGTGCCTCAATTCTGCATATTGCTGCCTATTGTGCCTCCCTGTCATTCTCTTCAGCCACATTTCCCCTCTTCATTAGCCCCTCATTGCCATTTCCCATCCATCCATCAAATGCCCTTGGACTTTCCTTCCTTTCCCCATCATCTCACCACCCTGGTGACGGCCCAGTGTTATGGCAGCTCATTATTCCAAAACCCCAATAATCCAAAAAATCCAACAAATGGTCCAACATGACAATGGATCGAAAGCCCATTGCTCCAAAAAGAATAGAAACTCCCCCAAACAGAACCACTTGGCTAATGATTATACAGAATGATGTAAATGGACCTTTCTATTGACTGACTGACTGACTGACTAATAATAATATTAATGAAATTTTATTGAAAGAGCGCTTTTTATAGTACTCAAAGACAGAAAAAAAAGAATACAGTAAAATACACAAAACATCATTCACACATTAAAAGCTGCTTGGAAGGGGGGCTGAAGGGGTGGCTTTGGAGAAGGCTCTGTCACTCTCTGGTGCATGGTCCTGAATGCTGGAGTCAGGAGGCTAGCATCAGAGGAGTGGAGGCTGCCGGGGTGTGAGTGTGGCAGTGGAGCAGGTCAGTGAGGTAGGAAGGAGCCTGGTTATGGAGGGCTTTATCAGTGAAGAGAAAGACTTGGAATTGGATGCATTGTGGGAAAGGGAGCCACTGGAGGTTCTGGGGGACAGGGCTGATGTGATTTGAGCGGGAATGGGTGAGCACTTGGGCAGCAGAGTTCTGAATGTATTTGAGTTTATTAAGGATTTTGGATGACGTACTATAAAGGATGCTGTTACAGTAGTCAGTTCTGGCTAGTACTTATTGCCTTTGTTGGTTAGGTTTAGGCATGAGAGGTGAGATTAGTTAGGGTTAGGGTAAGAATACCAGGATAAGCAAGTAAGAGTAGGCTGGGTCATGACTTTGCCATAGTCAGGAAAAACAAATATTGTGAAAACTTGGCTGTCAGACCTCATGGTCAGATATTTAATCTAACAATCCTATTTTCCTGGTTAGTATTATGTAGTATTCCATGTAGTAGTTATGATAGTGATAAAGGCTTAATCCCCTAAAAAGAACAATGTATTCATAGTTCTTTATGGACGTACATGGGTGACTGTTTGTCAGATCTGAGGTCTGATGTTTGGAGCAGCTGAGAGGTGCAGTTGGCAAGATGCACCACTGCCCCACTCTTCTCCACACCTGTTCTTGTCTTCATTATCAGCCCTGGAGTTACATGCCTTTTCATGCCTAATCTCACCTGTTGCCACTTTCCCTCATTCGCCCTGCAGTTTATAACCAGCCCCTTTTCACACACTCAGAACCAGTTCATTGACATGATTCTTCATGCTTTTAAGTTCCAAGCCATTTGTTACCTGTCTCTTATACAGTATTATCTGTCTCCTGAACCCTGTCATTTAAGGAGCACGTTTTGAGAACCCAAGTGCAGACACAGAAGCTGATGCTTTGAACAGGAATAAAGGGTAATTTATTGACAGACTGATAACAGTCAAGTTTGGATAGCCAGAGTCTGAGGCAAGGGATGGACCAGGGGAACTGAGCTGGGCAGGGCAGGGGGGACTGGCAAAGGGGAACCAGGCACACAGGAGAGCTTAGCTGATCCATAGCGGCTTCTGGGCAGAGCAGGAGTGGACACGGAGGCAGAAGTCAGACCTGGGGAATACTGCAGGCACAGGGATAATAGGTATTAGTAAAAAGCTTGATAAGCAAAGAGTTTCTACAAAGAGGCTGGAAGAAGACTGACTGTGAAGCAGAGCCTACTATCTGGCAGCATGCTGGAGTTGAAGCCCAGTATTTGAAGCAGAGAGGATTGAAGATGGACTGCAGCTGCTGCCCAAAACCTGCACACCTGATCCTATTTCTGTTATCAGAGGCAAAGACAGAGAGAGGTGGAGGGGGAAGAAGCTCCAGGCTAGGAGGGAGAGGAGGCTGAGTGGAGGCTATGACAATGTTACCTTGCCTGCCAGCAAGACATCTGCCTGTTCCTTGGACTTATGATTCTTATCTAACCTATTTGGATACATTTGCCTTTTTGGACTGCCTCCCCTGTGACCCTGTAAGGTTTTGCATTCTGCCAACTCTCCCAGTCCGCCTGAACTGTCTGGTTTGAGCCCTCTTTTCTCTATCATTATTTCAGGAGGTAATGATGACAGGAATTGCACTTAAGTATCCCCTGATGGAGTCTCGACACTGGTGGTGGTGAAGGGGTGAAGTGCATTGCTGAAGAAAAGGATGGATACGATGTTGAGCAGGACTTCTGATGAGCTCAGTGAAATGACCAACTGGGAAGACTGGTTGTGATGGAGACTGGAGGTGAATGCCATGGAAGAGGGTCACATCAATCTGACACTGCATTGACAGCATCAGAGAAAGGAACAGTTTTAAATTTTGGCAGCAACAGAGTGGTGAAGGAATGAGTCCCCAAAACGCAAAAAATGAGTTAGCATTTTTGGTTTCCTTGTCTCTATGTCAGTGGGTTTTCTGAAAGCTCAAGAGATTTTAATGTTATGTTGTACAACATAAAACACATAAGTAAATACCCCATTTGTGAACTTTGAAGCTTTGGTCTTAAAAAAGGCAGTTGCTAAAAAGTAGCTAAATCACAATACAAAATGTTGTCATGCCGAACATGGCTTCACTGCCCCGTGGTGGTGGTGAAGTAATGCGATTGTGGTGTAGTTCATTTCTAGCCTTATGTTAGCTTTTTACTGTCACCTCTCCCCTCTACAAGATTTTTAATGTTGCTTTATTGCTGCAGTGTTCCAGTCACTCCTTTGCCAGTTACTCTGTTACCTGTGGTATGACCAACTACCTGTCTGTAGCCTATGCCCATTTGGACTTATGTGTCTGTTATGACCATCTGCTCACCCACTGCAGAAGTTTAAGCCGTTTTTTTGACCTGTGGCTGTGACTAAAATCACTCCCACATTCACTTACTTAGTGCTCCCTACACAATGTACACTTTATAGTCAACTCTATATTTAGCAGTAATTATGACTTTTAAGACTGATTCATTATTATTTTGTGTAATCTCTGACAGTGTAGTGTTACACAATGGTAATTTTAGCACCTATAAAATTGTTGTTGAATATTCCCTCCGAAAAACAGTAGTTATCTGGATGTAACTCCAGTTCTATGAGTATGCCTGGAGCCGCCCACCACAAGCCCATCTGGTTCTGGCAGTTGTTGTTTAATTTCAAGCGGTGGTGGGTAAGTCGCGGTTGGTAGCTGGAGCGTCTGAAACCTCATCCTCTTGGAAGAGGGAAGCAGAATCCTCATCCTTATAAACACTGTGGTTGTCATTCTCATGGTAGTCGGTCCACTGTTTGGGCCAATCTGCTGCACCCTCCACCACTGGCGCCAGGCTACCATGGAGGGAGCTAACAGACAGGGGTCAGTCTCAACCTGACGCCACCTCTGCAGGCATAGGAAGCAGAGTTTGGGGGGGTCAGATGGCAGCATAGGCGTAGTGCAGGTGGAACAAGACTTGCTAGCAGTAAAGAAGCTGTGACACTGAAAGGTGAACGAGTATTTGCAGTGAATCCAATTGTGAAGGTGGCAAAGTGTAAAAGCGAGACGACCAACACAAGCATAGTGGCTTTATAGGAAGGTGGGTGCTGCGTACATGCTAGTACATGAGTACATCAGTTTCTCCTCAGGTGCCAAGACAGAACCTTGAGAGGGAAATCCAATAATGAAGTCTGTTAGAGGGCGGAGCATATATGAAATAGAACCAATAGTTCCATCTGTAGTTTGAATATTCAAATTGTACTGAAATAAACTGGTAGAGGTAAATATTAGAGCTGAATGAAAATGTTTTGGTTTGAATCAAATTTGGCTGCTCAGTACGAAGATTTGACTATTCCTTCCTTGTTTTTTTTTGTTATGCACAGGGGGCATAATGGTGTCTCTTTTAGGATCAGTGTACTCTGGCAGCATACATCTTTGTCTCTCTTTTTCCATCATTGCAGTTCAATGCCAGTTTGTGTCTTAGATATAATTTTTCCAAAATCAGTTCTGTCAATGTACAGACTGCAAATCTGTTGTTGTCACACAATAGGCACCTGTAGTAGCAGCATATCCACATTTCATTTCTGTGTGTGTGTGTGTGTGTGTGTGTGTGTGTGTGCGTGCCGTAATTAATCGCAGGTGCATTCGATTACCAATTGAATGTAATGTGCACTGGTAGCTCACGGGTAGCTGCACATATGTGCAACATTGTGACAGGATAGCACTGTCTGAGAGGACATCAAACGGACTGGAGTCTGTCCTTACAAAATGATTAACATGAACCAAACGGTGACGCATTTGGTTCAGTTGATTGAGCGCAACGATACGCTGTAATGCAGCCATAATCTTATCTACAATGAAGCAAGCAGAGGCAACGCGCTTGACTAGTTTACAGCCGGCCTCGGTAGACTTCAATTTGATCAATTTGTCAAGTATCTGTCAGATATTCAGTACATAGTGGTAGGGTACAGCCTGTAGCCTCGTCAGAAAAAACATATCCTCAGTTAGCTCCATTAAATAAATGAATGAATGAATGAATAAATTAATAATTATACCTATATATTTATAATATTCAATATTCATTATTATTTTTCATGAAGTTAATTTTAAACTAATGATGTAATTTGCGCAAGGAGTCTAGATGTGAATTATACTGCAAATGTCCATTTAAAAAGCATAATTTTGGCCTAATAAAGCTAAAACTGTGACAGCATAAATGGAGCGCATCACTAAGGGACAGCTTACAAGTGGTTCAGACCGCCCTTCTTAAGATATACCTTTCAGAAGATATATCTTCACTAAGGAGACTCTGGGAAACAGCCCGTAAGCTTCAGGGAGACCTTAAGATTCAACTTATGATGCACGTAGCACTACAAAGGCTCTGGGAAATGGGGCCCTGGTCATGTTATTACACTGTGCTATTTGTGGTCTACACATACACTGAACAAAAATATAAACACTTTTGTTTTTGCTCCCATTTTTCATGAGCTGAACTCAAAGATCTAAAACATTTTCTATATACACAAAAGACCATTTCTCACAAATATTGTTCACAAATCTGTCTAAATCTGTGTTAGTGAGCACTTCTCCTTTGCCGAGATAATCCATCCCACCTCACAGGTGTGGCATATCAAGATGCTGATTAGACAGCATGAATATTGCACAGGTGTGCCTTAGGCTGGCCACAATAAAAGGCCACTCTAAAATGTGTAGTTTTGCTTTATTGGGGGGGGTGTCTGGGGGGGTCAGAAAACCAGTCAGTATCTGATGTGACCACCATTTGCCTCACGCAGTGCAACACATCTCCTTCACATCGAGTTGATCAGGTTGTTGATTGTGGCCTGTGGAATGTTGGTCCACTCCTCTTCAATGGCTGTGCGAAGTTGCTGGATATTGGCAGGAACTGGAACACGCTGTCGTATACGCCAATCCAGAGCATCCCAAACATGCTCAATGGGTGACATGTCCGGTGAGTATGCTGGCCATGCAAGAACTGGGATGTTTTCAGCTTCAAGGAATTGTGTATAGATCCTTGCAACATGGGGCCGTGCATTATCATGCTGCAACATGAGGTGATGGTCGTGGATGAATGGCACAACAATGGGCCTCAGGATCTCGTCACGGTATCTCTGTGCATTCAAAATGCCATCAATAAAATGCACCTGTGTTCGTTGTCCATAACATATGCCTGCCCATACCATAACCCCACCGCCTCCATGGGCCACTCGATCCACAACGTTGACATCAGCAAACCGCTCACCCACACGACGCCACACACGCTGTCTGCCATCTGCCCTGAACAGTGAAAACCGGGATTCATCCGTGAAGAGAACACCTCTCCAACGTGCCAGACGCCATCGAACGTGAGCATTTGCCCACTCAAGTCGGTTACGACGACGAACTGCAGTCAGGTCGAGACCCCGATGAGGACGATGAGCATGCAGATGAGCTTCCCTGAGACGGTTTCTGACAGTTTGTGCAGAAATTCTTTGGTTATGCAAACCGATTGTTGCAGCAGCTGTCCAGGTGGCTGGTCTCAGACGATGTTGGAGGTGAACATGCTGCATGTGGAGGTCCTGGGCTGGTGTGGTTACATGTGGTCTGCGGTTGTGAGGCCGGTTGGATGTACTGCCAAATTGTCTGAAACGCCTTTGGAGACAGCTTATGGCAGAGAAATGAACATTCAATTCACGGACAACAGCTCTGGTGGACATTCCTGCAGTCAGCATGCCAATTGCACACTCCCTCAAAACTTGCGTCATCTGTGGCATTGTGCTGTGTGATAAAACTACTCATTTCAGAGTGGCCTTTTATTGTGGCCAGCCTAAGGATGGATGGATTATCTTGGCAAGGGAGAAGTGCTCACTAACACAGATTTAGACAGATTTGTGAACAATATTTGTGAGAAATGGTGTTTTGTGTGTATAGAAAATGTTTTAGATCTTTGAGTTCAGCTCATGAAAAATGGGAGCAAAAACAAAAGTGTTGTGTTTATATTTTTGTTCAGTGTATGTTGAGGAAAATGTAGTTGAGGTAAGCTACGTGGAAATATGAATTACCTCAGAAACCTGTTTTGGACCTTCAGTGTAAACCACTTCATCTCTCTGTCACCATGAAGCTCCACCAGAGTCCTGCACTTAACCTCTCCAACTG